GCCCGAATGTCTGAAAGCGCAGAAAACAGTCCTTTTATCCATGATCTCATTTTGTGTTTTTTTTTTTCTTTCTGCAAGAACAGCACACACGGATACAAACGACTCATCTTCCCCCGCATCTTTACCAAAAAAACCACAAACGTACATCCACGCCCCCGCCCGTCTCCTGCATGTGCACATCATATCCCTAATCTAACCACAATGATAATTATAACCACACGAGGGCTTCGTGTCATCTCCTGCTCAGAACGTGCCAAAGACGACCGGGGAATGTGGCAGTACTTTAAAGAAACACGCTGACACAAAAAGAATCATCTTAACCCCCATGTCATTGGTTCCTGGCGCGTTTTGTACTACGCCATTTTGTTCACTCAAAGAACATCAAAGACTACGTGAAATAAACAATGCAAAAAAAGTTACTCTATAATACACAGAGCTTCCCAAACTGGGAGGCACCGCCCGCTTAAAATTATGGGGGGAAAACGGGGGGGGGGGGGGGGGGGGGGATTGTAGCATGGTACCTATTCTCTTTCTCTGTTGACCGGTTGTATGCTTAAGCGGAAAGTCCTTGCTGTTCGTCCATTTGGAATATGGCTTTGTGTAAGGATAGGAGTTTTGAGTGTACATCCGTTTTACAGGTATGTTTTTGTTCAGTTGGATGTTCCTTACCGCTCGGGCTGATGCATTCTAACTTCGAAGGAAGCAACCAATTAGTCGACTGTTACGACATTCTGTTGTTGTTGTTGTTGCAGGCTATGGGTCTCTATGCCCCCCACCCACACACACACACACACACACACACAATGGGACAGCTGAACCCACACGTGGAAAGAAGGATACCTGAGCCCCGAGGTTTCGACGGCCCTGGTAGACTAAGTTTGGGAACCTGTGATAAAATACAGGGGATGTTGTCAGCGAAATGGGTGTCACATGATGCGCAGATGTCAAACATCATGGGATGTGGCTGAAATCTTTTCAGACAGAAGGTTGGGTGTTTTTTGGCAACGTTTCTCGGGTGTTGGGGGTAGAAATGCGAGCAGGTTAGGATACAGGAGGAATTTTAATTGTGCAAGAATGTGGTATGGCGCCCGGCTGTGAAAAACATGCAACAATGTGTTTTAAATTTATCTTTTCGTGCTTTTAGGGAAAATTCTTGCATTTTTTTTAAAGGAAAATGTTGTGTTTTTTTTTTTAAAACAGATTACTAAGTATTTTAGAAACGTGTATACACGTAGTTTAGATGTATTTATCCGAGCATTTCAGAAATAAACTTGAATTTTCTTGTTTAATATCTAATCTAGTAACCCTATGTCGTGTGGCGTTGGTAGTCATATCTATCCACAACATTTTGTCTCGTGCACTTTCAATCAGTTCTGACACAGATGATCTTCCATGCATTGATGAACTTATCCAGCATCTTCTCTCTCTCTCTCTCTCTCTCTCTCTCTATATATATATATATATATATATATATATATATATATATATATATATATATATATATATATATATATATATCTGCTTGTTTCTCCTTTATCTTACATCAGAAAAACGTTAAGGCTTGTTTGTTGCCACGCATTTTACTGGCAATTATCAGTGTATTCCTTCTTCTTTTCCTTCCTCCTCCTCCTCTTCCTTCTTATCCTCTTCTTCTTCATCATCTGCTAATGCTACCTTATCTGTTAAAAGAGCGATTGGCGTGTTGTGGTTTACAGCTAGGCTACTTTTTGAGCGCTTTTTGACCGAACACATCACATTCTTTCAGCACTTGCTAGTTAGGGTCGGTGGATCTAACCGCCCACCCCCTCCCAACACACACACACACACACACAAGAAAGAAAGATATCACTGGGCCCTAGAACTATACAGAGAAAACAGTAACAATAGTGTTGATGCTGTGTTCAGAACAGTAACAATAGTGGGAATGCTCTATTGAGAACAGTAACAAAAGTTGGGATTTTGTACTGAGAACAGTAACAATAGTGGGGATGCTGTATTGAGAACAGTAACAATATCGGGGATGCTGTTTTGAGATAGAGGGGGGGGGGGGGGGGGGAATTTTTTTCGAAGTATCCACCCACAGCAGATTTTCCAGTAAACACTTGTAACGTTATATTCATGTTTGACAAAGATGGCTCAAAATCAATCTAGACCAAGTATATCTCACGTAATGAATTCCCCCTCGCCGTGCTGTCATGTGTTGTTTGGTAAAACATGGCACGTGCGGGGGAAACAGATCTGACAGAAGTGTGGGCGGGAGCTGAATTTTGATAGATAGATGGCGAAGATCGGAACTGTAGCCTTCGAGCTATCCCGTTACATCGTGAAGATAACCGTATCTAAAACACCGGACAGTGACGACGGATTTATCAAACCTCTGCCTTTGGTGACTGATAAAAATTATTCTAGTTTTAGTTTTTCAGGTTTTTTTATTCCTCCCTCGCTCACGCCTGCCAATTTTTTTCTCTTTTATGGACTCTCGCTTACGATTTAAAATGTAATGTAAAAAGTAAAGTAAAGGACCCTTTTTTACGCCTTTAGGCGTATAGGGCATATAGGGCTAGACCTATATTTTATAGACTAACGGCACAAGATGGATGATGTGGTCAGAATCACGCCATAACCAAGTAGAGATTATCTTTTTCTAAGTATGTTATGTATTTCTAAAAAAAATTATTATATTTATTTGTCCTCTAATATTTATTATTATTGCTCCCTTAGGCAAGGTATCAGTCCCTGGAGGTCCAAACACCCCTATCTTCCTCCAAAAATTACAAAACTATCCAATGATTTCTTCGTGGCAGCGCGCCTGGGCGTCTCGAGTATAAGACTTGAAAGGACTCTATAGTGTCATTGACGACCGGACGGCTTATTGGTCCACCAATGGGCGACTCACTGAGGGGGTAAGGTCCACACTGCAAGGGACCTTTTCATGGCTACAGTGTCATCCCCACGACCCAACCCTGGTTACGCCATATTGGCCAAAGCCTTCGTCCCCCTTTAGACACTCAGTGTACGCTGTGTCTGTTGGCGTCTGCTCCGCCCATTACCCAGGTATACCCACCCAGTTTTCGCTTCCCGTCCACGCGTTGGCGATATATAGGCTAGAACCTGTCCTGTTCATCCTCTTAAACGAAGTTTTTCCTTAGGGATACAGATGAGTATTATGTATTTTGTACATTAGAGTCACATGTAGTTACTTCATAGTTAGAGCATAATTGTGTATGTGTAGTTAAGAGCATATTTGTGTATGTGTACTGTGTTGTCCTTTATATGCTGATGAAGGCTACTCGCCACAACGTCTTTGTTTGTTTATTGTGATCGATTTCGTAAAGCTAACATAAACTATTTGTTCTTTCTTACCCCGTTTTTCTCTCTATAATTTCCTACCCTTTTAAAAACTTTTCATGGCTTTGGGTTTTTAGGTAAAAGTAACGTAAATATCACCACGACCCGCCCATATACACACTAGCTCACTTCTGATTAGTAGTTCCTGAGCCCTGTAACCTTTCCACAAGCTTACGGGGGTGTTTCGTGATACCGTTTATATCGCGTGTTGTATATTTATTTTTTGTTACGAACACGGTGCATATAAACACAGCATACCCTAGAGGATAGCTGGTGAGCGTGGGCGAGTTCTTGTTTTGCTTTTCACCGATGAACCTGCCTGCATTGTCAGCCTCTCACCTTGATTGTTCACTCTCCAGGACTTCTATTCGTCAATATCTTAAGTCATTCTCACAGCTGTCCCCGTGTGGATTCCGGGGCTCTATTCGGGAAAGCGGAAGGGGGGGGGGGGGGGGCGGACCCACTGCCCGTTTAACAAACATGTCGTACAAAGTGACTAATTCGGGATGTTTCCTTCGAAGTCGGAGTGTACTTGCCTGAAAGGCGAGAAACCAACAGTCTGCATACTAATAAGCAAAACTCACTTTCCCGAACAAGACCAACGTCCAGAAATGGACAGAATAACAATAACTTTTCGTCAGAGTTTACAGCCAGAAGAAGGCGAAGAAGAAATAGAAGAAGAAGAAAAAGAAGGAGAAGAAGAAGAAGAAGAAGAAGAAGAAGAAGAAGAAGAAGAAGAAGAAGAAGAAGAAGAAGAAGAGAAGAAGAAGAAGAAGAAGAAGAAAGAAGAAGAAGAAGAAGAAGAAGAAGAAGAAGAAGAAGAAGAAGAAGAAGAAGAAGAAGAAACAGAAGATTCTCATTACAGCCTACCACTTGCTCGCGTGCTTTTAATTTATTCTCCCGCGTTGACTTTAGAAATAGAATATAGTGTCTTTTAGTGAGGCCAAAATACCTCAGTGTTTTATCTGTCAACTCTGTTTTCATTCCAGATTTCTTCAGTTTTCCAACAACCCGCCCAAAATATGTCTTCCAATACCCCGCCTATAATATGTCTTCCATTTAATACGCCCATAATATATCTTGCACTATACACCCCTAATATATCTCCCCATTTCGCCCATTATTCTTGTACTGTCTTTTCATCTGCTCCTTGTGACGACTACCTCGTGTGTTTCACTGTCTGTCAATGACATGTGCATTTTCTCCAAAACTCACATCTCTACAGCAATCACATGTTTCTCGGCATGTCTGCTTGTTGTCCAGGTCCCACATTCCCACAACGCTATCAACTCCACCACTTTCTAGCAATCTCCTGTTTCCGCATAAATCAAAGATCAAGGACGTGACACACTTCTGCTGTGTAAGGTTCTGGAATGTTGCGACCAAGCACCAACTTCTGCCTGCTTCCCGCAGGTGAGTACACGTTTAGAAGGCCTTCACTTCCCGGCCACTTTCTACGATAATAATTTGCCACAAGTGGCAATAAATCCACTTTCCACTCTATTCTCAGCGACGCACCGTTTCTGTTCTATTTCACGTTTTTATTTAAGAATAAATGGGTTCTGGAACTCGAAAAAAAAAAGGCTGGTAATAGTTGCTATAGGGTGTAGTGTTAATAAAGCTACGCTCTCCGTTCTTCTTCTGTCCCTCTTCTATTTATTCTTCTCCACCACCACCACAACTATCACCACCACCACAACTATCACCACCACCACAACTATCACCACCACCACCACCACCACCACAACTATCACCACCGCCACAACTATCACCACCACCACAACTATCACCACCACCACAACTATCACCACCACCACAAATATCACCACCACCACAACTGTCACCACCACCACAACTATCACCACCACCACAACTATCACCACCACTACAACTATCACCACCACCACAACTATCACCACCACCACAACTATCACCACCATCACAACTATCACCACCAACACAACTATCACCACCACCACAACTATCACCACCACCACAACTATCACCACCACCACAACTATCACCACCACCACCACCACCACCACAACTATCACCACCACCACCACCACCACCACAACTATCACCACCGCCACAACTATCACCACCACCACAACTATCACCACCACCACAACTATCACCACCACCACAACTATCACGTGGAACACAACTATCACCACCACCACAACTATCACCACCACCACAACTATCACCACCACCACAACTATCACCACCACCACCACCACCACCACAACTATCACCACCAACACAACTATCACCACCAACACAACTATCACCACCACCACAACTATCACTACCACCACAACTATCACCACCATCACAACTATCACCACCACCACAACTATCACTACCACCACAACTATCACCACCACCACAACTATCACCACCAACACAACTATCACCACCACCACAACTATCACCACCAACACAACTATCACCACCACCACAACTATCACCACCACCACAACTATCACTACCACCACAACTATCACCACCACCACAACTATCACCACCACCACAACTATCACCACCACCACAACTATCACTACCACCACAACTATCACCATGTTAACTATCACTACCACCACAACTATCACTACCACCACAACTATCACCACCACCACAACTATCACCACCACCACAACTATCACCACCACCACAACTATCACTACCACCACAACTATCACCACCACCACAACTATCATAACCACCACAACTATCACCACCACCACAACTATCATAACCACCACAACTATCACCACCACCACAACTATCACCACCACCACAACTATCATAACCACCACAACTATCATAACCACCACAACTATCATAACCACCACAACTATCATCACCACCACAACTATCATCACCACCACAACTATCACTACCACCACAACTATCACCACCACCACAACTGTCACCACCAACACAACTATCACCACCACCACAACTGTCACCACCACCACAACTATCACCACCACCACAACTATCACCACCACCACAACTATCACCACCAACACAACTGTCACCACCAACACAACTATCACCACCACCACAACTATCACCACCAACACAACTATCATCACCACCATAGAGAGCAAAAAAGCATCAACAAATCATACCCAGTGTTGCCACTTTTCTTTGACAAAAAACATCCAAAACTGAGTCAAAAATATCAGAAAACATCTAAATTTGCGTGGAAAACATCTAGAAAAAACATCCGAATTGAAAGAGTCACAAATTACATAGCAATTGATGATTTACCCTATAGAATCATGTCCTCATCTTTACAAACGTCTGCCTTACAAGATCCACAGGATAAACTTAGCTTGGATGATGAAGTTGAAGCTTCAGATCCAAAATGACTCTGGCATGCTTTAGCTGTTCCAGTTTCTTTTAATACCCAATCAGGAAGCTGATAAGTGGAACACCCTTTTCCTACTCTTATCAGGCCAAATTTTATTGTCAAAATAGCATTTAAGAGGTCAAATTTCATTATGTTTCTTAGGTTAGATTTGATAAATTCACTCCAAATGAAAAACTTCTACTATCTTAACGTCAAAAACGTCTTCTAAATGCAAGTTTTTAATGGGGTTGGAAATTATAGGGAAGAGAAAAAGTTGGTAAGAAAAAACAAACAGTTTATGTTAGCTTTACAAAATCGATCACAATAAACATCTAAATCTGGATGTAAAACATCCAAAGTGGCAACACTGATCACACCAAACTGGCTGACTGACTGACTTTCTACCCCACTAGGACATCACAAAAGCGATAAACACCCGATGACACAAAGTGCCACCATGTGGATGAGGATCACCGTGGAGAGGTCCCAGAAACCGCGTTCAGACAATTGGCCATATTTATGGCCTGCCTATATTGCGGCCCCTGGCAAAAGTCAGGGTGGGGCTTCAAATAACAAAAAATGTCCTAAAATGGACGAAACACCTAGCAGATGATAGAAGTAGATTGTACTAAAAACAACACCAAAACTCTTTTTCATTTGATAATATCTGGTTGATTTCTGCAGCTTAAATTTTCTACGGGGGCGAAAAGTCACATCCAAACTTCACTGATCGTTTGTTAAAGCATGCATTATGGGCAAAGAGAAGAGCAAAGAAGCACAGACATCACGATGAAATAACGTACCTAAAGAGAAATACTGAAGGGAATTTCGAGGATTATGGAGTGGGGGGTGGGGGTGGGGGGGGGGGGTGTGGCGCTCCGGAAGCAATACCGCACATCTTCACTCCACCTTATTGTAAAGACAGAAGCATGAAAGAATGATTCTTGAAAGATGTATGCGAACCGAATTTAAGCGGCTCAGTTCCGGTTCGTTATAACAAAAACTCTACATATTTGATCATTTCAATCCCCAGGTCAGATCAGTTGCCACTTTGACATAACAATATTTGTTTGTATCACTCCCCGACTTTTGATTGTTCCTGTTGTGATAACACAACCTTATTTGCCCCTTTTCTTTTGATGTTATCTTTCTCGTTTGAGCCTCTTGCTTCTTGAAACCCGCTTTCCTTTTTTGATTTCACCTTACATCCTGGTGTTCAGGAGGTAATTATCTCCCTTTGTACTACGATTGGTTATTGGTTGAAATACGGGGGGCGTTTATAAAGTATTAACCGTCATGTTTCTCTCTCTAGCATATATCCAGTTTCGTCCTTTTCAGGACGAAATTTTTTGTCATTTGAAGCCCTACTCTGGCTTTTGCCAGGGGCCGCAATATAGGCAGGCCATACATATGGCCAAATGTCTGAACGCGGTTTCTGGGACCTCTCCACGGCGATCCTCATCCGCATGGTGGCACTTTGTGTCATCGGGTGTTTATCGCTTGTGTGATGTCCTAGTGGGGTAGAAAGTCAGTCAGTCATGTTTCTCTCTTTCTCGCCAATAGTTTGTGCACATTGTGTGAAATTCAAACACACTGTAACTCACTGAATCCGTTACCCTTCCCCGAAACTGGAAGTGAGGAAGAGATCTGGCCGATACTCGGCGCTCTGGGGAAAGGCGAGGCAGATGTATAATCAGAACGCTGCTGGCACCATTGTTATTGGAACTCAGCGTTGACTGCTGAAGGTGCGAAGGGAGCGCTTATGGGAATGCCCCGAGTGCTGTGATATCGGTTCTTAAAACAAATAAAGTCAACTTATACTGGTATTTCATGTTTTACACCTGCAAAATTCCACTTAGTATCTTAACCGTCGGCTCTGTGGCTAAGTCGATGCGAACGCTTCGTAATGCCGGGATGCTGGGTTCGATCACAGCTGCGTTGGTTTCGACAGTGGTATCAAGAAAGCCGACCGTCCAGGGGGGCAATGGCAAACTACTGGATGTATATTTGCCTAGAAAAACCGCACAACAGCCAGGGGCTGTTGGGGTTGGTTCTGCAACGTCCTGTAAAGGATACGCAACTAACCATCTTAACTAAAAGCTGGGGGTGAAAAGGGGGAGGGGGGTTAAGAGGCTTCTTTCCTGAACTTCCACCCCCTCCCCACCCACCTGGGTAACATAATGCAACTACCAGTGCTGGTGCTGCTGATGCTGCTGTTGCTTTTTTTCTTTCTTTTTTTTTTTTTTAGGGCTGTACCGAATAGTGATTTTCACTATTCGGCCGAATACGAATAGCTGGACCAACTATTCGGTCGAATACGAATAGTGAATTATCTTCATCGTGTGCTTTGCCGACTGGTATGGGCGATTATGTCTCGTGTGCTGACACACCTCCATGCCATGCAACAAGACTGTCAGGAATCTTCTCTTCCTCTATCCCTCCTTCCACATATCTTTCCAGTGGTCACCACGTGTTCTATTTTCCCTCATCTTATAACATGGCCGAAAAATGATGACTGTCTCCTTCTGATGTATGTGAGGAGTTGTCTTCGGGCTCCCGCCTTTATCAAGACTTCTTGGTTGCTTTTTTTTTTTTTTTTTTTCGAGGGTATTTTAAGCATTGTTCTGTAATACCACATCTCTGAGCACCACCCGCCTCGGTTCGATGTTCATTCACTAGTCTTCTTGTAGTGAGCACTGCCCGACCCAGTTCATTGCTGGTTTACCAATCTTCTTGTAGTGAGCACCACTCTCCCCAGTTCAATGTTCGTTCACCAGTCTTCTTGTAGTGAGCACCGCTCGCCCCAGGTCGATGTTCGTTCACCAGTCTTCTTGTAGTAAGCACTGCTAGCCCCAGGTCGATGTTCGTTCACTAGTTTTCTTGTAGTGAGCACTGCTCGACCCAGTTCATTGCTGGTTTACCAGCCTTTTTTTTTAGTAAGCACCGCTCGCCCCAGGTCGATGTTCATTCACTAGTCTTCTTGTAGTAAGCACCGCTCGCCCCAGTTCGATGTTCAGTCCCAGTCTTCTTGTAGTGAGCACTGCTCGCCCCAGTTCGATGTTCGTTCACTAGTCTTCTTGTAGTTAGCACCGCTCGCCCCAGTTCGATGTTCGTTCACTAGTCTTCTTGTAGTGAGCACCGCTCGCCCCAGTTCGATGTTCGTTCACCAGTCTTCTTGTAGTGAGCACCGCTCGCCCCAGTTCGATGTTCGTTCACCAGTCTTCTTGTAGTGAGCACCGCTCGCCCCAGGTCGATGTTCGTTCACTAGTCTTCTTGTAGTGAGCACCGCTCGCCCCTGGTCGATGTTCAGTCACCAGTCTTCTTGTAGTGAGCACCGCTCGCCCCAGTTCGATGTTCGTTCACCAGTCTTCTTGTAGTGAGCACCACTTGCCCCAGTTCGATGTTCGTTCACCAGTCTTCTAGTAGTAAGCACTGATAGCCCCAGGTCGATGTTCGTTCACTAGTCTTCTTGTAGTGAGCACTGCTCGACCCAGTTCATTGCTGGTTTACCAGCCTTTTTTTTAGTAAGCACCGCTCGTCCCAGTTCGATGTCCGTTCACAAGTCTTCTTGTAGTGAGCACCACTCGCTCCAGTTCGATGTTCGTTCTTGTAGTGAGCACCACTCGCCCCAGTTCGATGTTCGTTCACCAGTCTTCTTGTAGTGAGCACCGCTCGCCCCAGTTCGATGTTCGTTCACCAGTCTTCTTGTAGTGAGCACCACTCGCCCCAGTTCGATGTTCGTTCACCAGTCTTCTTGTAGTGAGCACCGCTCGCCCCAGGTCGATGTTCAGTCACCAGTCTTCTTGTAGTAAGCACCGCTTGCCCCAGGTCGATGTTCGTTCACCAGTCTTCTTGTAGTGAGCACTGCTCGTCTCACGTCGATGTTCGTTCACCAGTCTTCTTGTAGTGAGCACCGCTCGCCCCAGGTCGATGTTCGTTCACTAGTCTTCTTGTAGTAAGCACCACTCGCCCCAGGTCGATGTTCAGTCCCAGTCTTCTTGTAGTGAGCACCGCTCGCCCCAGTTCGATGTTCGTTCACCAGTCTTCTTGTAGTAAGCACCGCTCGCCCCAGTTCGATGTTCGTTCACCGGTCTTCTTGTAGTGAGCACCGCTCGCCCCAGTTCGATGTTCGTTCACCAGTCTTCTTGTAGTGAGCACCGCTCGCCCCAGGTCGATGTTCGTTCACTAATCTTCTTGTAGTAAGCACCGCTCGCCCCAGTTCGATGTTCGTTCACCAGTCTTCTTGCAGTGAGCACCGCTCGCCCCAGGTCGATGTTCGTTCACCAGTCTTCTTGTAGTGAGCACCGCTCGCCCCAGGTCGATGTTCGTTCACTAATCTTCTTGTAGTGAGCACCGCTCGCCCCAGTTCGATGTTCGTTCACCAGTCTTCTTGTA